ATCGAATACATAGCATTCATTGTGGATGCTATAGCTTGAGGATTTGTACTATTTAAATCAATATATCTAGTCGCAGTGACAGTCTCCAATACTACACCAGGTGGGCCTCTCAAATAACTATCAGTATCACGTTCATGGCCAATAGAATGTCTTTGAGCCTCATCTGAATAATTCTTATATCTCAAAATTCTATATGTTTCATCGAGATCATTGACTTGAATATAATAATAAAATTCAGTATTAAATCTGATATATCGATTTTCTTGAGTCGTACTGGTCTGAGTTACACACCATTCTTTATCTATATTCCACAAATCACAGATATACATTTCTTAATCACAATTTGCACATTGAACTTCGTGAATCTTATCATATATCGCAAAGTAATTTTTTCTTATTGGACTATGTATCAAATCATTCAAATTCTCAAATACTGTATCAACAACTGGTCATCTATTCTCCTCTATATTAGAAGTCGGAAGCTTACAAGTCATAGATACATTAACTATCAGAGTTTTAACATAGAAGGTTGTCTTGATTGGATTAATTTTTATCTTATCATTCTTCTCCCCACTCTGATCGACTAACAAAGGAAGTGCAATCCGACTTGAACCAGTATCATTTCTATTTCCATACACCCTAATTCTCCAAAGAGAATAAAAATCTAACACGAACTTATTACGTGTATTATTGTTTACCAGTATATTTTGAAATAACATATTTGAGATATAATACATTGAAGGCTAATATAGAAAAGTCGATTTCTTTTCAGCACTAAGTGACATATTAGTAACATCTCGTTGATTGAACATCTTTTGAATCACTGAATTATATTTTCTTTGACTTTCTGATTTTGGTCTCACTCCACAATGTTTCTCTAATTCAGATAACTCTAGAAAAATTGGTGGACAAAAGCTAGGTTGAGGTTGACGAGCCATTGTTCACAGTATGCGTATTGGTATTCGTTGGTCGGAAACAACAAGAACAATTTGAAAGACAAGAACCCTCTTTTCCAGGAAAACAACAAATACAGCTATGATTACACTTAATTTCAACCCTAGCAATAGT